CACCACCAAGTAAAGGAGAGCAGAAGCACTGTAAAATATTCCCTCCAGTCCCCAACCCTTGTAGAGCACCCAGAAGGATACCATGGTAGACAGAATTGAAGGCCACTGAAAGGTCCAATAAAGGTCATCCCTTAGCATGCAATTTCTGTCTAGTGCTCAGATCTGAATCCTATCTGGAAAAGGTCCAGATAATCCAGGGTTGTTTGGAGTCAGGTGGCATCACATTGAATAAAATAAAATCTCTTTCCTCTCGGTAGCTGATCTCTTGTCACTCTTAACAGTCTTCCTCCAAAAGTGAAGACAGCTGGATCCAGGGTGGGCCTCTTGGGAAGTTCAACTACAGCTCTTTCAAATGTTAGGGTTTCAGTATGCCTACTATGTCCTCTGACATAGGTCAACAGTTAACAACAACCTAAAATACCACACACACCCCAAACTCCACCCAGTAATACTAAGTACCCTAAATTGGAGGTCAGCGCTCTAGTCAGCTACTCATGCAGGTCCTTCAGTGCTTCCACACATCTTCTGTCAAGCCATCACGATAAGATCCCCAGCATTCCCCCATCTATAAGCACCTTGTCACCAGTGGTCCAGTGTATATATCTCTCTCTGGTTCTTTATCATTTACCTAGAGAGCCGCTCAAGCTATCATGTCTGGTAGCACTGCCTGAGCATCAACCCATGTGTTATAAAATATATAGGATCTTATATGCTGTGTCAGAGCATGAACAGCAAAATTCCCACCAAACAAGCCAGGATGTGAAGTCCCATATAGCTGGCAAAACCAACAAAGTAAAACCAACATGGATTTCAGAAAGGTCATTTTTTATTTATCAGTCAAAATTGTATGCTGCCCATCTCACTGTACAAGTGACTCTAGGCAGCTTTAATGCTCATCTGGGTAAAAACATTCCTGAAAAAAGGAAGAATAAATTCATAGTCACAGTTATAACGAGTGAATTAAGTGGTGTCTCTCTGAAATGCTTTCTTCCCACTTTAAGTGGGATAAAGCCTAGGATAAATCCATATCATCGTTCCCCACTTCTCTTAGTCTCTCACACCAGGGCAGTCATTTTCTAGCCGCTCCATTGGAGCATATCTGTCAGATCTGCCATGTTCAAATCCCAGTTAAGAAAAATCTCTTGAAACCCGAGTCAGGTTCAAAAAGAAATTCATTTATTGAGAGATACATGTATCTTCAAAGCATTGCTGGGACTGAAAAGCCTGCGCATACCCAATCTACTTTTACCTTCACTTCTTAACCCCCCTCCTCCTCAACCAGTTCTTGGTTCTCATGTTGGTATGACCTTGGACATTCCTGGCCCCGGATAACAGTCCATCTGTGTTAATGGTTTCGCCTTCCTTGTTCCTCCCTCCCCCCAGTGAAAAATGGCAGAAATGAAGCAAGCAACTAATGAGCTGACAGATTGATTGCTGGAGGTTCTGACGACATCCTGCAGGTGTACACAGACGCGTGCAGAACGCATGCCCCAAAGGAAGAAAAGAAGAAAGAGGGAGTGCTCTTCATATGTGGCCCACTCTGGGGGAATCCGAAGAGCTCTTTGTGGAAATATCTCAGCCTTTTAATTTTTTTAAAGAAACTTTGTTAATTTTCAATAAAGAATAAAATATAAGAAAATAGAAAAGGCAAAGAGGAAAAAAAGTTGAAAGTGCAGAAAAGAAAAAGAAAAGAGAAAGAAGGAATAGGTGACTTGCAACTTTCTTTGTTGCAGATACAAATATAGAATACATACTGTTCATCTTTTACTCTAAAGATATAACTAATGCAAAATACTTCTCTAACCCTAAAATCTAATAATTATCAAAACCCCAAGTCAACATGGCATTTTACAATCCCAAACAAAAAAAGAAAAAAACAAGCAATTTCCAAACAGAAGCAAGGCTAACCCCGCCTTTTAAATTTCAATGCATTTTGCCACCATCTCCGCCACTACCATTAATGTCTAATCCTAAATATCTGTTTGTTTTTGTCATCTATGTGCATATAAAAATCTCACTAGTATTATCATATACCATCATCCCTT